AAGTTCTTTGAAATTAAGAGGTCGATTTTAGTAATTTACATGTGAGAGTGAGAGTTTTTATTCGAGTTTCTCAAGAGAGTATGGACAACAACAACCACATGAAAGAAGCCCAAGTTCTCGACAGAATAAAAGAAACCAAAGCAACAATTGGACTTGTCACACACTACTATAAAAAAAACTCATTAGCCAAGGCCACACCAACAAAAAATTGATTTCTTTTATTTAAGCTAAACAGCAAACACCTTGTCTTCATGTATAGAAAAAGCATCATTGGAAACCTAACTAAAAAATTCAGGAAAAAAAAAAGGAAAAAATTATCTCATTAACCCAACCATAAATTCTAATCAAATTAGAATTACCTAAGTTGCATATACATGTGCATGTGCAACCAGACCTACGCTAACAAATGCTAAACTATTCTTCAACGACACAAAGAACATATATTGAAAAGAATGAATAACAAAAAATTGATCACAATTGCAACAAATAAACAAAAGGTCGGTAGATTTGCGTTAATAGCAAATCATCTCACCTCGGCAAGTTTGGGACCAAAAATCAAAACAACATTCCAATCACCATAGCTTCAAGAAAACAATTTTGATAATGAGTTCTGATAATGCACACAACTAACAATGGAATCGACACCGAAACACTTTTATGCTTTGCAAATAAGTAAGCTTATTTGTATTCTCAAGCACACTCACCCCCCCCCCCCCCAAAAAAAAAAAAAAGATTAGGTTCACCATTTTTCAAATACCTGATAACCCACAAAATACAAACAAAAAAATGAAACCCAAAACATCAAGAAAGTGCATACCCAACTATATGTAATCTTGGATGTTCCAGAGCTCTTTGGGAATTTTCATCCAACATGGGAGAAGCGCAAGGTTGATAAATGTGAGTAACACAAAATAACAAAGAGATTTATGCGAGAAATAGAGGGAAAATTAACAGTGTATACACGGTGTGTCGATTTTGGTGCGTTTGTGACAGAGAGAGGAAGACAGAGAACGGGAGACAGAGAGGTGGGGGTGAGAGAGACAGAGAAAGGGAGATACTTGGATTTGGGAGATCTGGGTTGACGTCGTCACTGGTGGTGGCGGCAACAAGGTTGGTTGCAGTTTAGGTCGTGATACGGTGGTTGAGAATGGGTAACTGAGATAGAGAGGGGAGGAGATAGAGAGGAGGGAGAGAAAAAAGAGATATTTTGGTTGCCGTTGGGCGACGCGTAGTCGCTAGTGTCGTCTTTGTGGCGGCTTGTGGTGGTGCTTGACAGAGGAGAGTCTGATAGATAGAAAGAGTAGAGACGGGTGCAATTGGACAGAGAATTGAGATAGGGAGAGAGAAAATTCTCTTTTTTAGGGCAAATTAAGTGGAGTGATTTGGGGAATTAGGGCAAATTTTGAGTAGAGTGATTTAAGAAATTTAAAAATTAAAATTTTTAAGCGGGCTTAAATTTTTTGTGAGTCAATCAAGTGTATTAGATCAAGAATTTTGAAATGATCTGAGACGTTAATAGTTTGAGACAATTTAGAAAGATATCGTCTGTTAGATGATATTTTTTTTGGTCAGAAAACGATCCGAACCATCTTTATCTTCAAAATTCAAAATCGTTCTATTTTATTATATAGATGATAAATGTGGTTCGTTAAATTGAAATAGAGACATCAATAACTTAAGACATCTAAAATAACGTCGTTGATAAAAAAAAAGTTTTTTTTATCACCAATTCAATCGCTCTTTATCTCTTGAATTTAAAATCGCTCTTTATCTCTTGAATTTAAATTTGTTCTGCGTTATTTGATAAATTATGTATAAATCAAGTGTTACTTGGAACAAGCTGAAGGCTAGTGAAGTGATTTTTGATTTTTAGAAAAAAAAAAAAAAAACAAAAAACTGCGTGTAAGTTCTTCTCAACTGCTGAGGCCTCTTAATCCTTCGCCAACGCTCTCTCCAAATACAACCATTTCTGTCCTTGCCTCCTCCAATAGCATTCAGTTCCCATGACTTCAACCCTCTCAGCTCCCTCTTCCTGGTCCCTCCCCTCCTCCCCCAACCCTAATCCTAACCCTAACCCTAACAATAGCTCTCCTTCACCTCACTTGATCCAAAACCCCCCTTCTCCTTCCTCCCACCACCAACCCCTAGACTCCGATCAATCATCCATCTCCGACCTCACCGACATGACTTTTCCGCAGTATTCAGTCGACGCGGGCGACGAACAAAATTTACTCTCCGATTTCTCCGAAACCTCTTCCGCAATCTCGTCAAACCCCCAGAACCATACTCCGACCGAACCAATCCCCACTCTCCTCCATCTCTCCTTCAACCAGGACTTCGGCTGCTTCGCCTCTGGCACCGACCGCGGCTTTCGTATTTACAATTGCGACCCCTTCCGCGAAATCTTCCGCCGCGACTTCTCTCCTTCCTCCGCCACCGCAGGTGGTGGCGGCGGTGGCATCGGCGTAGTCCAAATGCTCTTCCGGTGCAACATTCTTGCCCTAGTCGGCGGGGGCCCTGAACCCCAATATCCCCTTAACAAGGTCATGATTTGGGATGACCATCAGTCCAGATGCATCGGCGAGCTATCGTTCCGGTCCGAAGTAAAAAATGTTCGCCTCCGACGTGACCGAATTATCGTAATTTTATTACAAAAAATATTTGTTTATAATTTTGCGGATTTAAAGTTATTGCATCAGATTGAAACAGCGGTGAATCCCAAGGGTTTGTGTGAGGTTTCGCACGTTTCGGGGTCTATGGTTTTGGTGTGTCCTGGGTTGCAAAAGGGGCAGGTCAGGGTCGAGCATTACGCGTCAAAGAGGACCAAGTTTATTATGGCACATGATTCGAGGATTGTGTGTTTGGCGCTTACAAATGATGGGAGGTTACTGGCCACAGCAAGTAGTAAGGGGACGCTTGTGAGGATTTTCAATACTCTGGATGGCTCATTGCTTCAGGAGGTACGTTTGTAAAGATGTGCATATCTGTGTGATTCAATGCTGTCTTAGGTTTATTCATATGGTGTATCCTTCTTGTACTCATTCTGAATTTATATGTTTAGTAAAAAACAAAAAATTTGTTGCTGACCATAAAAATCTCATGGGATGTTTTGTTGCGTTGTTTGAGTTGAACAAATATAAGATTTTTCAAGTACTGATAATTTGAGCCTCTTGTGAGTGTAGAACAATTTTTGAAGTCTTTTACGAGCTAGGTAGTCAGACATTAAATCTGAACTAAAAAATTATGTACTTGTCAAAGTAGTGAAAAGGCAAAAATTAACTCTAATGGGAAAGAATATGAGAGAGAGAGAGAGGAAGATGGATCTAGATTAGGCAGCCAAACTAAATATGTGGAGTATTGGTGTGGAGAATCTTGATTGAGAAGTGGATAATTGTTTATGTACTTGCTTATGGATTTTTTTGAGGGGTTTTGGCAGGCACAAGGGCTTATAGTTGTTGTACCTGCGATGGAGACCAGAACTATCGAGGCTCTAGCCTAAAACTCAAATCATCAATTAAATCTACAAAGTAACTTTAGGAAATAGAGATTATCTTCCTAGGCCAGGGATGAAGATAGCTTAACTCATAGTGTTTCAGGTTGGGGATATATAAATCTACTTCCTTACAACAACAAAAAAAAAGAGTGAACCTTTCACCTTCCATGCACACCATGTAAGTTACAGTGGTGTGCAACTCTGAAGTGTTTTGGCTTCCTCGTGGCATATGCCCCTCCCTCCTCCCAAGCAGCCCAATAAAGAAGCCAAGCAACCCAATTAACTCTGGACATATTGAAAAGGAGGCAGCAAAATGTGTAGCTTTGTTAGAGTCAAGTTTTAGCCTCTGTTATGTCTAAGGCCTATCACACTCTCAGCTCAGCATGCTATTTCATTAGACCACAGAATCCCATTCCTGACGTCCTCTACTTAGGTGCTTCCCATCATGGTGCACTCTCTCCATGTGGTTCAGGATCCTATGGACATGTGCCATTTTGTGGAAGAATTTACTGTTATTACTTCCTCTTCCTGCTATATGGCTTTGACTTTTGCCTCTAACTTGCTTCTCCAAAAATTGCAATCCTTCCCAATTCACCTTTCATGTCTACCCTTTTTGCTGACTATTGATAAGCCACGTTCACCTTTGATCACATCTAACTCTTTATTACCTATAGGACAATTGCTAATAATAGGTCCCTGTTGTAACATTCCATTTCCCCCTTATTTCTTACAAAAATTGGCTTTGTATTGCCACGAGTAATCCCCTGCTTTGACAAAGAACTATTCTTATTCTCTGATCTCTCCATCCTTTTGTTCTATAATCACCCCTTTTCTTGGGCATCCTATTTGCCCTTATTTTCATCCTTTTATGTTTTATATGCTTGTCTATATCATGACTCATTGCTATTGAAATACCCATCTAACACATTACACACCAGTACAGGGACAAGGTCACACCCATCTGCTAAGGGTCACACTCATATGCCACTTCGTCCTTATTCTTCATTCACTTTATTTCCTTGATTATCCTAGAAACTTGCAGAAAAGATCTGGACCTTTATTCGACTTCAGTCCACAATTTGTATCATTACCTTTTCCTTCACCAGAATTGTCTTCCCAGAATTTTCCATAAAAATGTTTTGATTCTAGAATTAAATTTCATATATTGTTCATTTACTAATTGACCTCTCCAATGCTGGTCATCACCCAATTGTCCCTGAAATGTGCTGTTACACCCTCCCCACCTTTTAGAAATTTTGTCCGCAAATTTGGATAGTTGTAGAGCATTACTGGCCACATTGATTAAGTGCAATGAATTATATAATTTATTGACCCAGTCTAAACAGCCAAGCCAAACTATAGACGTTTATGGAATAAACTTTGACCACACAAACTATGCCACCAATGCAACCCACAAAAAATGCAATCTTGGTTAATCAGAGTAGGTGTCATCTTGCCATCACTCGGTCAATCTGCCATACCACCATTACACTTCACTCAGACACATTGATAATTTCGTCCACATCAACAAGTTCTGCCACTAGCCCATATAAATGCGCCACTAAGGCATGTATATGCCACATCACCTATGGAATCCGTCGCAAAGGCCATGCATATCTGCCACTAAAGCATGTATTTTCTCATACGTTGTACAAATCTGCCACTAAAGCATGTCTTTGTCACGTAGGCTATATAAATCTGCCATTAAGGCCATAATCTTGCCACAAAGACAACATATATGAACTTTGGATATCTATTTTTTGATTGTTTAGAACAAATACCATTGCGTAGTTGATATACACATTACATAGATGCAGGCCACTATAGTGATGTCCAAAAAGTCCATTATTTTTCATAGGATTAAATCTCGTTCTGATGTAAGTCATTCTCATGTCAACATTTTTCTTGCTAATACCACTATTAATAACCTACTGCGTACAACATTCAACTACTATTACCAAAATCAGTTGAGATTGTGACTTCAATTACTTCTGTGATGCAACAACCATCAATCAAAGTACATGTCACTTACATGCTTGCTCCATGCAATAAGTGCACATGCCATGCAAATGCAAAGACCATGCAAACTCACCTAAAATAACTTGATAAAATGAATTCCCAGGCCATACATTTTCTATACAAAGCACTTTCAACACCAAACTCAAGGGTGCTCACTAGAGGAGATCTTTCTTCTAAATATGAATAGTTGAGCAATGTGTGTTAATATTTTACCAATAAAATTTTCAACAAATCATAGCAACCAAAGAATTCGGTGCAATTCATTCGTTATTACGCAACCTGGGTTCCATGGCACATGTATTTCGTTGGGTACCACAAGAATTTAGCATATGCAGTGTGTTCAATTTAATGAACTCAAAAGTCAACCTTTGAGAAAATAGTATATGGATATTTATATCAAGTAAACAGACCAACTAAATTATTTTTCCAAGTCACCTAAAAATGTACATATGTGCATATCTATATGGTCTACACAGTCATGTGCGGCTTACTTGCAGCTGTGTGCTGGTTACCCTCCATATATTCGAACTGATACAAATATTTTGATGAATGAATTAGAATCAAATTGATGAAGAGAATCTGGAACTCATTTCAGATGTGGGCCATAAATTATCCAAAAACTCAGCACAAGGACTTCTTACCTGACCATTGAACATCACTATGGCTAGTCAACCTTGGCTCTTTTGTTGGCCGATTACATCTCTTTATGGCTCTGCATTGCAAGTATTATTGTTATTAAATACACTATTATGTTACTCACACTTTTATCTGTTGAACACATAGTTATCAAATCGAGATTCTTATCGGGAATCAAAATCCTAAATTTGAGAATTGTGAATCGTATTGAATCGAAATTTGACACAAAATTCGAATAAAGATAAAAAAATATCTATATATTTAAAATAGGCAAGATATTAAATATTGAACATTATTGTATTTTAAAAATAAACAATTGAGTACATTCACCTGGAACAAGAATAGGAAATGACCATGATGAAATATCTATTGTCTTCCTGGTACCAATGAAGTTTACTAAAATAGGAAAATCCATATTGACTCCAACATGTAAACTTAGAAAATCACTTCTCACATTTGATTGAAAAATAAATTATTGATGAAAAATAAAAAACAGAGCATATTTTGAAGAAGATGTATGGTGTGTTAGGATTTGGTAGATGTTGTTGAAGAAGAAGAAGCATAGTTGTAGTAAAGGAGACGTCGTTTTTGTGTGATGTTCACATATGCTTGAATAGTCGCTGATAGAGGTAGAGGCGCGAACATGAGATATAGAGAGACGCGAGTTTTATAATTAGGGGTGGACCTATTTTAGCAAAGCAACAATGTAATACTAGAAATAGGGTTTAAAAAAAATAAAATGAGTTGTATGATTCCTTCGATTCTTATCTAATCGAATGGTTCGTATCAAATCAAACAATTCGTGCGATTCCCAGCCAAAAACGATTCTATAGTAAGATACAAACCAAATGGGGACTAAATCGAATCGTTCAAATCGAATTGTACGATTTTGATAACAATGGTTGCACATGCACGAAACCCATGTTGTTTAGGCAATCTACAGATGTAACATCCCAGTTTCCCCTTTCTCTTACCTTAAATAGATGTAGCGTGGGTGCAATGTGGCCACTAGCATTCACAAATATGAACTATTCTTATTCTCTCATCTTCTCCATCCTTTTCTTGTATATTCACCTCTTTTTGAGACATCCTCTCCCTGCTTCCTTCTCGTTCATTTCTGTTTTATATGCTTGTCCATAACATGACTCTTGTTATTGAAATACACAGCAATAGGGTGTTACACACCAACAGATGGGTGAGGTAACACCTGTCTGCCACTTCTTCCTTATTCTTTATTCATTTCCTTTCCTTGCTCATCTTAGAAACTTTCAGAAAAGCTCCAGACCTCTATCCTGCTTTTATCCACAATTTGTTGTCTTTAGGCACCGTTTTCCTTCCCCTCATTCCTCTTCCCTTCGGAAGCATGTGAATGCCAATGCAAGTTAGGAACATAATTTTTGTGTTAGTCATTATTTGTTATATGCATAATATTTGGTTGAGCAAAAAAATTATGGATCCCTTGCTGGCTGAAATTGGATCTTGGCATGTGAAATTTTCATTTGGACCAGTTTGATGGTTTTATTTCAAATATTGTATTCAGAGTGTGATATGTGATCCAACCTCCCAGTATCTATAGCAAGTGTTGGAGCATTCAATTCAAAACCAAGTAACAATGAATGGAGAGACTCCTTGCCCATATAAACCATCTAAACCAACCTTGGGTGAACCAAATAATTTAGTGTGATACAATTTCTCTATATTCCCTCCCTGGACCATTGTTGGCACGTAGAGCTAACACACAAATAGACAAACATGCATGCTGACAATGGGTGGAGAGATTATAAAACAATATTAATCAATCTTGGGTGGTCATAATTATTTGATACTGGCTAACAAACTCTTTTTATGTTCAGTATTGTGCTGGTTTGCTTCTAAAATAAGCATTTTGCTTGTTCCTTTTTTCCCCAATGTTTACAGTTTTAGTTGAAGCTTAATTCTCATGATTTGCAATTGTACATATTTATTGTTTAGATTGTCTGGTTCTATTGTGCCCGTGCCTTTTGTGATGTCAAGGACAGATGAAACAGAGAACTTGTGATCTTAAGGTGCACACATTGCATTTTAGTGAATTTCAATAACAAGTGTACTGTGGAACAGCACTTACAAAATGAAGAAATCCTAGTAAGACTTCGAGCCTTGGATCATAAACAATGGTATATTATTTTATTTTTGCCTTTTCATTTTCCCTCAAACATCCTACCTTAAATGGACGGCTGTTCTTTTGACCTTGGTTTTTGTTACCCTTTTTGAACTTCTATGCAACCTGAGATGTTTTATTCTGTATGGTCAGGTACCATTATATCCAATAATGAATGCGGTTTTGCCGCTCATCTTTCTTCGGACTCTATGGA